TAAAATATATATTATTTAATATTACAAACTATTTACAAATAAAAATTTTAATTTATATTTTGGCTCATATTATCATATTACTGGCTATTTTAAAAGAATAAAATTAATAATTAAAACATTAAAATGTTATTTAATTAATATTTACAACCTATTTTTTATTAAAAGTTTATAAAGTTAAACCAAAAATATTATTTTAAATAATATTACTGTCTATTATATATTAAAAATAATATTAAAAACGAAATTTTTTAAGATTACTAACTTTTTATTAATTAAATATATATAAATTTTATTAAAAAATTATATTTATTATAAAATTACATTCTATTTTTAAAAAAATATTTATCTAAAATATATATTATTTTAATATTACAAACTGTTTTTAATAAAAATATTGATAATATTTAACTAAAATTCAAATATTACAATCTATTATTTATATAAAATTTATAAACATATGTAATATTCTTTTTATTTAATATAACATCCTATTTAAATAAAATTAAAGTTTAGACTAAAATGCTTTTATTTATATATTACCGGCTTTTTTGTAATAAATATTAGATAAATTTAAACAAAATATGATATTACATTCTATATTAATAAATTTAAAAAAAAAAATCATAATATTTATTTTTACGCCCTATTGTTAGTATATAAATTATAAATTTTGTCTAAAATCAATATTATTAATATTACTGACTATTTAAAAATAAATAATTTTATTTTTAAAATAAAAAATTATTTATATTTAAATACTTGCTTAATTTCAAAAAAATAAAATATTTTAATATATTATTATTATAATTATCTTACACTCTATTTATAATTAGATTTTTTTTATTTTTTAATCGATTTATTTTATTTTAATACGCACTTTTTATTTATTTCAATTTAATATTTATTTTAAATGAAAATTATTTTTACATTATAAATCTTCATTTAATATAGATTAATTAATTAATTAATTTATTTATTATATTTTAATTTTAAATACTCTCTATTTAAAATTTATTAAAACTTAATTATTATTTTTACCTATTCAGAAAAATAATAATTTTTTGTATATTAATAATTTCAGATATTAATTTTACACACTATTATTTTATATTAATTTGAATTTTTAATAATAATATTTATTATTAACAAACTATTTTATAATATATAATTTAATACTAAATATTTATTAATTTAATTATACTAACTATAAAAAATAATATTATCTTTATTGAAGCTTATATATATTTTACGCACTATTTTTATAATAAATTGCATATTTTTATTATATATTTTTACAATCTTTTTATCATATAAATTTTAATTTAAATAATTTATTACATCCTTGATTTTTATTAAAAAATAATATGTTTTTTATATATATATATATTTTATTTACGCTCTAAAATTATTTATTTTTTTATAAAAAAAATTTCTAATTTTTTATTTACGTACTATCAAATTAATTAATATTAATAATTTATTAAAAACTTATTTTTACATTGCTTTTTGTATAAAAATTAAATTATTTATAATAAATACTAAAATATAATATTTTATTTTTAATTACACACTAAAATTAAATAGATATTAAGTATTAATAAATAAATATATTTACATTCTTTATTATTTTATTAATTAATAAGATTTTATTCTTTTAAAATAAAAATTTTATATACCTTAAATTAATAAATCAATCAAAAATATTTTATAAAAAATGAAAAACTAAATTAAAAGTATTTTTTACGCAACTTTTTTTATTTAAATAAAATATTATTAATTATTATATATTTTTTTTAATTCATTTGTATTTAAATTTTTAATATTGTTTTTAATAATGATGTTGATTATAACTTAATTATATTTTATTAAAAAATTACATGTCTTTAAGCCTAATATAGCTATATAAATGCAATAAGAATTAACAAACAAATATAAATCTATAATAAAAAATTAAAATATAAATAATATAGTTTCTACCTTTGACATCTTATAATAAATATATTTTTTTATTTTATTTTTTCTAAAAAATAGTAAATATTAATATTATTTTTTAAAAAAATTTATATCCTATTTCTATATAAATAATAATAAAAATAATAATATATTTTATAAAATAGAATAATAATACGTAAATTAAATAAATTAATTATATTTTAATAAAATATTATAAATAACATAATTTGATACCTTTTAAATATAAATATATATCATATAAAAATAGATTATGAATCAATTCAAGATTTGTTAAATAATTAATAGCACAAGAATCGTCAAAAATCCATATAAAATTACTTATTTTGTAAAAAAATTAGTATTATAATACAAAAAAATTATCATTATAAGAAAATTTTTATTATATAAGAAATAAATATAATATAAAGACTTAAAAATAAAAAATAATTTAATAATATGATAGAATAATAGAGGAAATACAGAATTAATTATAATAATGAATAATGCACTTAGGTTTATTTGCCAAATTTATTAAAGAAATACAAGAGAATATAATACTATATATGAGAAAATAATATCTTTAAAATACTAACTATATTCTATTGGGTTAATAGAAAATTATTTTTATCTAAATAATTTTAAAATCTTTACAGATATAATTTTTGATTTTAAAAATAATAATAAATATCTATATATTTGTATTTTAAAATTTTTGAATAAAATAATGATTTTTTTGCAAAACATATATCTTGCTAACTAGTTGTCTTTTTTATGAATTTGTTTAATTGAAAATATTATTTTAAGGCAAGCTCAACAATACATGAGACTTTCTTTTAAAAAAATAATAGAAAAATTTAAAGGAATAGTATAAAAAACAAAAAAATAAAGTAAAATAAAAAGAATATAAAATAAAATATTATAAGAAAAAAGCATAAAAAGAAAATGTATAATTATAATATAAATAATTTTAATTTATAAATTTGAATTCACATATAAGAAAATCAGATTAAAATTAAAAAAATAATATAAGATATAAATTAATAATATTTTAGTTTTAAAAAAAAAAAATTTAAATAAAAACTAATTTAAAAATTTTCTAATTGTTTTTATTAATATATTAATAATAATAAAAAAATTTTAAATATTTATATATATTAATATTACAAAATAAGAATTATAAATAATAAGAGATTGAAAATCTTATATTTATAATAAGTATATATATAGAAATAATTTTATTTAAAAAAAGTAAAAAAATAAATACAATTAATAATAAAAAAAATAAAAAATTTAATATTAAATAATTTGAAAAAAATAACAAAATTATAAAAAACAAAAATATTAAAAAATTTTAAAATATATAATCTATAAAAAATAAATATATATATAT